AAAATTTAACGTAATTATAATTACGTTTTACAGGACTGACAAAAAACAATTCTTTATTAACACAGTTTTTATTAAAAAAAAAAAAATAATAATAATAAATGAATACCTTACTTAAGATGATTATTAAATCTTTTTCAAAAAATGTAACAAAAGGCAAAAGTAAAATTTATGGATTGTCAAGTTCATGAAAATTAAAGCCATGGTTAGAACATTATAATTCGACCAGACTTATTTAAAAACTTAAACTGTCACTTTTGTTAAAAATATTTACTAAGGATTGAATTGTATTTCAACAACAAGTATATTTTTTTTTAATTCTTAAACAAAAATGCTGTAAACTATTTAACGTAAAAATATTTATGTATTTATGTATAATCACTTCGTTGTACATGTTTTATACAAGAAATATTCTGTATAGATTCAAAACGTGTAATCAATGTGATTATATGATTCACATGAGCGTTTAACATAATATATAAATTAATAATTATCAAATGTACGTGAACTCAAAACACTTTAACCATTTAACATCAAATAATAACGAAATAATATTCATCGTTGGTTCAATGTGTTTATATATTTTCATTGTATTTCTTTTTTAACCTATTAAACGACAAACAATTCGTAGCTGTACGTAAATAGAGGATGATGCGTATTTTATTTGCATACAGGAAATAAATAGCTGTTTATCTGTCAACATAACGCGACAATGTCGTATAATGTCCTGCCCGTAAAAAAAAAAAAAAATAGGTGAACACGACTTCAACTTACGGTTCATGCACTACAAATACGCACAGTATTACGTGCGAGCTTTGAATAACAATAAATTGACAGTCAAGCGGAAAAAACAATGATCGTTTTCAAAGGCGCAATCTCAAGTATTATAATACAATGTATGCGAAACATCGAGAATAGTTCTGAGCGTTCGTTGTCCGACACCGCCCGACTCCGTTGTGACAAGTTAAAGTCGTCGCAAACGAACCGGAGCACCGCGATTTGCGTATATGATGTAATAACGATATTGTGATTATAACGGTGTATCGGGGTGATACATGGTCCTGCAATACTGTATGTTCTATAAAATACAATAATGCGAGCAATAATAATGATGTCGACAACAACAACAACAACAATATAAGTCATAATAATTTCAATATTAATAATAATAGTAATAATTATAGTAATACGAATAAAGTAATGTTAATGATCGAGCGATCTAATTATTTACGAATAAATATACATTTTGTCTCTTTTGCCCCACCTATGCGATTGCACTTTTCAAGATTTATTCATTTTATAACGGTCATGCCGATATCCCGCACTTCTTCGACTTATGCTGAGAATCACTATGAAGTTCAAGTCGGAATTATCAAGTCAAGTTCGGCGACGAATCGCAGACGAGACGCGATCGCCGTACGTCTGCACCGAACACACTTATAGTAATACCGTGCATAGTTCGAGGTTCAAACAGTGTTGTTAGTAATAACGTAACACGTAACTTATTACACGTTGTATTGTATTAAATCAATTTCCCATCGCCGTGCATTGTGATCACGTGGACGATTCGTTGTACGGCTATATGAGTTTCGAGTTTCCAAACTTTTCAGACGTTCGATCGCCTTCGCCGTGTCATGCGTGCAAATTATCGTCCACTGTCGAATCGTTAGATTTATTTTATCCGATAATCCTTGTGGTTTTTTTTCTTTGGATTGTTAAGAAACGATTTTTTTCGTTGTGTTCGCAATCGGCGTGGCTTTTAACAAAAACAAGAGAATTAAATCAATTACATTCATACTCAAGTACCTACACATAGGTACCGGGGATATTTTTGCTGTAGATATTTCTACTATGATATTTTTAACCGGTTTTTATCATTTGATAATAGAATATTTTCAAAGTAACTGTGAGCGTATTGTTAATATTGTTGTATTAATGCATCTCGTACTCTTATCGTTCAAACACGCACAATACATCGTAATGGATTTTAATTTATAAGAATTTTATCATGCGTAAAGAAGCTTTGTTTTCCGGTGTTAGTACTCATGATACATTTACCCTTTACTCAATCTCTGGCTGTATTGCAGTGCCGTCAACTTTAAATTAATACACTGTTGATCCTTAGCCTACCGTACATATATATATATTATAAGTATACCTGCTGAAGATCGTCATTTGCATTCATAGTGATGTTGTCATATAGAAACATCACGAATAAGTTATCTATCTCTCTCTTTCTCTTTCTCTCTCTCTCTCTCTGATTCGTGCGATTTCACGTGACTACAATGCCAGTAGTCGTGTGTTGTGAATTTGGTGATGTTTGTATGTCTTGACATTAGTATAACGTCAGACGCAGGTGCGTCCGTCGCCCGTATCTTATTTGTAAGCACACTCGGAACACAGTCCACCCGCTGCAACGTCTAATAATCATAATGACCACGTTTATAATGCCATGACGGGAAGAAAAAAAATCATAATAATCATCGTGTTTTAAAATAAACGACATGTGTTTAGTGTGATACACGCGTTTCGTATCGAAAAACTGCACGGTCTCAAGCGTGCCGTACGTGGGGTACAAATAACCGGACAACAAATCGTATACCAGTTGTGACCAAACGATTTCACGATAATACGGCACTTACATTGATACATGACAACGATAACAGGGTGAAATAGCACTTCGTACACAAGAAATCCCGTATAACTGTGCTAAACTACAATGTCAAAAACGACGAAACGAGAAATCGCAGAAGAAAGCCGGTAAAAATAGAGACACATTTCAAAACGGCAACAAACCGTCCTTCAATCAAGTATTACACCAACGAAGAATTGGAGACTTGAATATATTCAGGCTATGAGCGACGATAACGACGACCGTGACCGGAGATATCTGTTCATCAACGGTAATAAACCATGGTGCATCGTGACTGGCCACCCGCTAACTGCTTGTTAGCGATATCGACGGCCACGCCGACTGACGAATCGCCGTCGAGTTCTATAGGGAACGCGACTGTACTAACCAACGGTTCTAGCAGACCACCTAACGGATCCCGCACTTGCTCGACAACTACCTCATCTGAAAATGCTCTTCTAAATGCCACCTTCGGTTATTTGACAACTGAGGTTCTGGGTCCAACGTCATACATACGGAAACTTGTTTGAGTTATATCCCGCGTATTGCCTAGAAGACCCCTTGCAGAATATTGTACTTCCAAAGTAAGGAAATAAAAAACACAATTTGGAACATCAAATAAACATCAATTTTAATCGTTCTAAACACCTAATATTTTACAGAACATCGCTTTTAAATAACTGTATTGATTAAAACGCCGTAATAGGTCATAAGTATCAAACATCAATAAAAAATTAATACGATGATTAATTAATTTATTTTTGTTTTTTATTTATATTTTATAACTTGCAAAAAAACTAAAGCTATAATGGTTGCATTGTTATTGAATGTTGTTGAAAATAAGAGGGAATATTTATGAAATAAAATTATGATAGATCGATCAACCCTAATGTATGGGGGCCGAATGGATTTTATGCGCGTTCAAACTTTACCTCGTCGCACTACACGTATTGCAACAATTCCATACACGTCACGATAATCATTTGTGAAATCCTATTAAATGAAATAGCACAATGTGTCGTACGTATCTTATCCAGCGCGTTCGTTTATATCTACAGTCGTTGTTTGACCCAATGTCACTGATAAATGTGCGCGTTCGGTTCTTCTTTTTTTTTCAATTTTCGCTCCTCTTCCCGCGCTATCTTCTACGCGCTTGTTTTTCGGGTCAACGGCAGCCAAATACTCTCCAAAGAATACGCCTACAGGTGTACCTACCGGATGTGAGAATTACGATAAAAACAATCGAGACAATCGTCGACCCTGTTGCGGGACGGCTACAACAATGACCGTGGTCTGACCCGCGGAAAGGGTGAAGGGACGTAGATCCGGCCGTTGTCGTTAGCGTGACGAATAGTTTTCGCACTGAGAAATCGAACATGGGCACTACGAAAAAAAAACAGAATAATGACCCGCGCTTTTATCGCGTTGAATCGCAACTACAGTGTTCTATTGCACAAATCCTGATTGATAATGACCGCGCGATACAATTACCGTTCGCCCAGAGACGGATCCACAGTTAGAGAACTGTGGATCAAGTTATTTTCAAAAAGCCATTTTTAGGGCTGAAGCTAGATTATAAATGTAACCTTGTAACGAAAAAAAAAACACTATAAGATTATATAATATTATGTATATTTAAGTGAATTTATAATTCTCAGTGAAAACATTCATGTTTATTTTATGGAGTCTTACATGGTTTAGAGATATTTTACTGTACTACACAATTAAACCAATGGTGTATTTGGGGGAGGGGGGCAATGGTAACTGAGGCATTAATAAAACACTTAAAAAATATAAGAACTCTATAAGAGGCTGATTTCGTCAACAAATATTAACTGTGTGTCAACTGACCTCCTGAACCCCTCCCCATAGATCCGCCCCAGCGTTCACTACGTACACGCGTAAAACGATAACCGTTAGCATTACTGATCTACGATCTACCGAATGATTTGCAATATGCTCGGATCATCGGTGTACCGGGCACAGTAAACCGAAGCATCAGTCACGCGCGGAACGGTAGCGATAGTGATTGATGTGTTTTGGATGTGTTCCGTGGGTACGTTCCGTGGTCACATTCGGTGCACATTGTATAACGGCTGTAGTCGGTATAGGCGCAACTATGGGGTACAATAGGGTTTTTAGCACCTCTAAGTTTAAATGTAGCACTCCTGTTTTTTTTCAGATCTATATAATCTATTAGCATTACAGTTAAATACCATTTAATTTTATTTTCAGCATTTTCATCACTCTCGATATTTAAGCTCTAGTTGCGCCCATGGTAGTCGGTCTCGTTCACCCCTGTACAACCGATAATCTACCTGTGGTGTCACATTGCGAAACGCTAATCGACGATCGATATTTTGTTTTACAGATGAAATTATGTTCTCCGCTTCTGGTAATCATGCTCACGACTGTGGCAGCCACTCCTTGCCTATTCAACAGCATGTGCACGTGCAAGACGGACGAAGCGTTACGGATGCATATCGCATGCGTTGCAGTTCCTTTGTATACAATTCCAGGTAATTTTCGACGCGTTCAATGGTTACGTAATTCAAACACTCTATGAAACGTGTAACTTGTTTCGACGAAGTTTGTATATTTTAAGGTACATAATACGGAAATCGACGCTTAGTGAACTCACTTTGGGACCGGATTACTCGAGTCCATTAACCGAACCGGCGGACATCAAAACCGCATACTTACCGTTTATAGCCGCATATATTACATCATTCAATACCGCACATATTTATTCTATTGTTAAAAAGGGAAATTTGAAAGGCTGATAGTTCAAAACCTCACGCATTTGATCAATAGTTCCTTTCTCTCTGCACACTTCGCATGTACAGTTCACGTTGCCGGTTTCGTATGAGTCCCATACAAAATCTTTTTTTTTTTATCTTGAGACTTACTCGGGATGATTTTACATAGCAAATCGGGCGATATTTTTGTTTTTGACTGTCCGAGCGAACGCAGCGAGTAAGTGATTCCGCTCAGTCTCGACGTACATTCGTGTTATTTTAGATAAATGTATACGTAATTGTAATATATATATAAATTTGTGCGATATTGAACGGTTTAATTTGGCGAAAATATAAGGGATTAAGATATAAAAGTGTGCGGTTTTGAACGACGACCTGTTATTGAAAGTGTGCGGTTATGAATGATGCCCAACCGAAAGTGTCAATAAGACGAGAGGCCATGAAAGAAAATTGAAAAAAAAAAACTACATGTTTCCAAAATCGTGTTTGCCTATTTTCTCCGTAAAATCGTTAATTTTTTTTCGCGCGACAAGGGTCCTGTAATTAGTGCATTGTTTTCTTTCACTTAAGTGAAACATGGCTTCGAAGTCACTTTGAATTCTTCTACTCCACCGACTGATTTTCTATTCACAATCTCAGCTCTCATTCGTCAACGATGCGTTTTCGATTTACTCTAGACTTTTCAAAATCCTACACGGTACACTTTGAAGCATATTACACTTACAGTTTGTCGCTGACTCGTAAGAGAAAGCTGGTCAAATTTTCGAATAACGTCTAGTTTTTCTATCACCCTTTTTATCAGCGGTTTATTCATTGCAACACAAATAAAATGTTAACGAAAAAAATTTAAATTCAAACACTTTTCCATAGTTAAAGTACTAACATTGACGACTGCTTGGTTTATCGTGAAAATGTAAATTAATTTATCTTTACAATAACAGAAAAATACCGGTATCTGGTTGTATGGCATTTATAGCAATTTTTTTCAATTTATGTATCCATTTTTTTTTTTAATTATCTAATTTTCAAATAACCCCATTGACCGGTGTGTGAGACGAATTTTTCACTACATATTAGTATACGTTCAATTCAGAATCAGCCATTTTCAATCTAATAAGCGAACTAGTAAATCAACCAGTGAGTCCAATAAGCGACGATCACTGTATGAGCACTAAGGTCGGGTGGAATGTGATTATGTGATAGTAGTTTTCAATTTACCCATCGATTGTCAGGTAGGTTTTTTATTTTTAGAGTTCGTATGAACTCATATCTCTGAATTCTTCTACTTTTTTTTTCAACATATAAAGTGACCCAAAATACTACATTTAAAATATGCTTTGTAAACTACAAACAATTAATAACTATGTACTTATAAAAAGGCATTCTAAAATCCAAATATTCAACAATAAAAAAAATATATAATTACGCATTCTCTAAAAATATATAAATTATATTGTTAGTGAATTTCGTATAATGTGACATTGCAACATCGAAAGTTTTTAAAAGTATCGTGTAATTCATTTAAACTATATGATACAGTAATTCAAATTTTAATGTAACTACTTTTATAGAATACTTGGAGGTTTTTTTTTTTTTTTTATATATACCACAGATATGTATCTTTTTTTAGATTTTGGACCATCACCGTTAACATCTCAATAATTTAGTTTTTTATTCGTATAACGCTTTTCGATACAGTCAAAATATGTTGATTTAATACTATTCATACATCATATGAGATGATTTGGGCACATATTATGATTTGATTATAAGTATTTTAATGTCATAGTAGCCATAATAATAAAAAGTAAAAACAAAAAGGAATCTTTTATACGTAATGGATAATATTGTACACTCTATATTGATTAAAATTCAACATTTAATACTTACAAAAAAATAAACAAAATTACTTAATAATTTAATAGCAATAAACTATAAAAACGGTTTAGAATCTAAAACGCCTTTGTGTTGAATTTATATAATATCAAGTTAGAATATCCCCGAGGTTCCCGGAAACGAGAGTTTCTAAGGAATCTCAGAACGAGTATAATATATAACGTGTAGGTACATCAAAATAAATTAAATGGTGGAATAGAAATAACTGAACAACAATGTTTCAAATGGATTGCAAAAAATAAAATATTTGATTCGCTTTTTGTAATCATTTCCCGTGCCTACAATATATTATTCTAGTTTCATATAATTTCAAAAAACACAATTCACGGGTTCGATTGATTCAATAAATAAATATATTTCTTCAACACCGAATGCAAATGATAATTATTTACGTCTTACGCTAAATTTACAGGAATGAAAGCATTCAAAAATGATAAATCATAAAAAACAAAACATAAATCATTCAAATCCCTTATTGAATTATTTTTTAATTCACTTTTATATTTAATTATTTTGATCGACTGTGACACTCCGTTACGATAGTAATCTTGAACTTAAATTGTTTTCCTTCCAACTTGTCGTATATATTTTGATATAAAAATTGATATTGTAATATACTATACATGTATAATAAACAATAAGATGTAAAATTACAATAACAGCATATAAATATTTAGATTTAGTTTATCTTCAAATAATATTTTTTTAAGAGATGATACAGTAATATAATTTTGAAAAAAGTGTTTATTCTACTAACAACGTATCATGTTATAAAATAATATACATATAAAATAAAATAATATATTATTATATATATATATATATATATCGTATCAAGATTTAGTACATATTGCTGTCATCGCGTCCATATGAATTAAAATGGATGTAGTTATTTCCCCCAGTTATATTTCAATAATCATATATTCGTCACGTATTTTGTTCTTTCAAAGAAAAAAAAAAAAACAAAAGAAATTAAAATAAAAATTTTGTTCGGAACTGTAGTATACACACTTTATCATATGGACCTACTCTGTCTGAATTAAAATAATGAAAAACAAAAAAGATAAATTAAAAGAAAACGCCGCCGCACTTTGTCACATTATTTTAGTTTAGTGAGACTGATTAGTGATCAGGCATCCGCAAAAAGAAACGCAACCAGTCGTCTCGTGCGTTCCCATTGTGTGAATGGATAATACCTCCAGTCATTATTTATTACGAAAAATGTTCATTATACTTTTGTATTTTAAACGATATTTCTTTTTGCTTTTAATAAACAACCCATAATACATATATATATATATATATATATACATATTGTACGTAAGTATTATTTTTATATATCGTTAAAAAAGGAAAAGTGTTAAAAAATAATTACGTCACTATTAGAGATGTTCCTGGTAGAAAATTGATTATATTCCGGTACCGAGTATTGACCGAGTAAAATGTTCACAACTATACCGAGTACCGGATATAAAGGTTGAGTAAAAACTCAGTACTAGGTAAGGACCGAGTCCTGATTATGGCATCGAGTACTCGGCTATCGAGTAATTGCCGGGTACCCGGAACATTTCCAGTCATTTCCCATCGTGAAAATCTGCAACATTTCATTTGTATTACGATATTAATTAAAAATTAATTTTGTTCGTTTTAATCGCTCGTAAAACATCAAAAATTTACATGTGGAAAAACCTATAACCTTATAACGTTTTGTATTAGACTACTACTACTTAGCATTCGACTACGAACACGTTGTGTAATAATATGAACATGTTTCTCATGTTTACTGTTTACGTAAAAATTAATTGTTTGGATTTGTATTTGCTTTTTAGAAGTAGCAACGGGTACACGGATAAGTCATATGGATGTCATGTCGTCGGAGATTGAGTCCGTCGAAAATGACATTTTACAAGGGACGCACATCGAATCACTGCGGCTGATGAGCAATAGAATCGGAATTATATCCGATAGAGCGTTCGCGTAAGTACACGTGATAAGTGTTTAACAATAGTTGTTAAAATTTGTTTATTTTAACTATATAATTGTTCAATCATATGAATAATTTAAACTTTCGAAATACATAAACACTGCGTGCGACGCAATTGAATAGTTATTATTAAATTTGAATTCTTAATTTTCTCATAATATATTATACATTATATAATTACGTTATAAAAACCTATTTTCATTTCTTCATTGATCTTTTAACAAAAATAAAAATAAATCGTTTTACTCCAGTCTATCCTAGAATACGGGTCTTCCATTTTGATTCCATACACATAATCTAATATCTTTCTAATCAAAAATATTTAAAACGTGTATTTTAAATTTTTGCTTTTAAATTTAATATAATTATTAATCAGAGTGATTGTTCACCACCATTTTGATCTCTTTTAAACCTTCCCACCCTTGCCTCTAGAAGCGAGTTAGGTTATATATCTCTTATATATGTATAAGTTAATAAATAATTACATAGACGCTCCTTACTTATTAAATAACATCCCTTTTAACATTCCAGCTTACAATAACCGCTTTACTCTCATGTTGTACCAAACCTTACAAAGCACAGACTATCTAAAATATTCTCCGTTCCCAATAGCCATGGCTTTAAGTATGATAAACCTACAGCTATTGCTGACTTATACTTTACTCCATTCAGCATGACTATTAATTTACATTTGAACAGAAATAATAATATGTAAAATTGAATTTGTAAGAAAAATTTATATCTAGCTACTTTCTTATTATTTTATTTTTTTTGTTTATTAACTTATTAATTTTAAGTATTTCTGTTTTATGACTAATCTAAATCGTTTATATTTAACTTAAATCTGAACTATTGGGTTCTTACATGTTCTATTAATTTGAATAAATTATTATTATTATTATTATTATTATTATTTTAATTATTTTTGTATTAATATCGAACTATTCATAGTTAAATAATGTATTAATAAATACGTAACCTACGCCGAAGGAGAATCTGAAAGGGGTCGTCTTCATTTTAAAATTTAAGTAATGGAAAAATAATAATAATAACCTTCTGATTCCAACGTAAATATTTTTTTTATGTTATAATTTTTTTTTTTTACTATTATGATAAAACAATTATATTTTAAAATTAAAACTAATATAAAAGTTTCTGGAATGGGCGATGAATTTCAGTTTAAAATCTAAACATAGATATTATATTATCATTATTACACATTTCGTAAAGTTGAACTAGTCACTTATGAACTTATAATAGCATTAATATGCAAAAGATAATATTATAGTTTAAAGACATAAAAAACAATTTGACTGACGAAGACATCTACACAGATGCCTCAAAAAGCAAACATAGAGTAGGCATATAGCAGTCATTACTAAAAATACAAATATATGTTAAAAATTATCTAATCAAATTTCAATATACACAGCCAAAGCATTAGCCATTATAACAGCCCTTAACTATATTAAAACAAATCCCATACTAAAATATAACATTTACACAAATTCATTAAGCACCATACAGAGTATACAAAATAATTTCCAACTCAACGACATTTCTACAATAATAATAAACAAAATACAGTTAATGAAACAAGCCAATAAAATTATTAACATAATGTAAATACCAGGACACTGCAATATACATGGTAACGAAGAAGCAGATCGACACTCAAAAAACGCAGTAACAGCAATAGAAACCTTAATTTCAATTTAATAAAATTTCTGACATAAAAAAATCCATAGCTATAATAACTCACAATACCTGGCAAAACCATTGGACAAAACAATCAACAAAATTAAATATGATAAAACAAAATATTGAACCTTGGCCTTAAATCCACACCTCAAGAAAAATAAACTCAATAATTAACCGATTGAGAATTAGACACACTCGACTAACACATGGTCATTTAATGGACAACTATGAATCAACATTATACTCCTCATGCAATGAAAAACTAACAATTAAACATATAATAACAGAATGTCACTCATACTTCATCGAAAAAATCAAATATAATATCCCTTCAAACTTGTACCAAACAATAGGACCGAATATCTCCGACAACTTCATCCTCTTCTTCAAGGACACCGGACTGGACAAATCAATATAAAATTAAACAATATTTTTTCATAACGCAACCTTTTTAATATGTAAATAATCTAACAATCATTTCACAGATAAATTTAAAAAAAAAAAATATAACTAATGACCATAGCTGCCGAAGTTGTAATTTTTGATAAATAAAAAAAAAATAATAATAATATTATAGCATATTAAACGATTTGTGTTTGTCAAACTTAAATGTGGTACTAAAATCTGTTGTTAATCATTTTATGAATTTCATTAGCGTTAACAACGTTGAAGGTGAAACACCATGTTCAAATTCTACTCTTATCAATCTTATTATGAGAAAAACATTACCTATGTTTATTGCGTTTGATTGTTGTCTACATAATTAGTCATAACAAACGTATACTATGCAAGTGTGTCGTATGTGTGTAATAACAATGAACATGATAATATTTAGTGATACTTGGCTATATAGTTTATTATCCAAATTGTTAAAATCGTTGCATTGGTCCCGATATATATTCATAAGCCTATTGTCAATAGAAATTGACTTTGTTATTAATAGGTCTTTTTTTTTTTTTTTATTAACTATAGTTAATATAGTTAAATATTGGAATTCACTATTACATAGACATATTACATAATACATATTTCAAATACGTAACAATATAATGGTATCAGTAGCGTACAAATAAAGGGGAAGGAATTGGGATAAATTCCCCTCATTAAAAAGCTAAAAAAAAAAAATCTTGTTTTAAAATGGTGTCAGAATAAAAAATATACTTATCATAAATATTTAAACGTGTGTATAACGTGTACTATTTATCAATTATGATAGAATTATAAAATCATTAATTTTTCGTCACAGAAATTCTAAAAATAAACATTTGATAATGATGAAAAATATATAACTCCCTCTGAAAATGTAATGTACGCCACTGAACGGTGCTTACGATATTTATATTCAATATAATTTTTAATGCCGAGGTTAGGTGCTCTCAGGATTTTTCAATAGCAGGAGATTTAAAAATTTATTAGAAAGTAAGCCATGGGGGTTAAGCCTCTACATCCCCATTCTTATATAATAACAACATATCATAAATTACAATATATTATATTTTTAATTATTATGTAAAATTTGCAAAATAATATAAATTCTACAGGTTTTTTTTTAAAAAAAAAAAAATTATATATTGCTTGAATTATTTCATTTTCATACACTATCGATAGTAAAATGTCAACCATCATTTAATTCAATCAATTACTCTGTAATCGTGGCCTTAAATCTGTTTATCAATCGTGAGAAAAATTATAATGAGTCAAAATAAAATATATGGATTATTTTTATTTATTTGATTATATATTACTAAGTATCAGTGGAACATGAAAATAAAATCCACTAAAAATAAGAAAGTCATGGATGGGAGATCTATTCCATACATCAGGGGCGGCCAAACGGTGGATCGCGATCGACTGGTTGATCGCTGACGATTTCAGAGTCGATCATGTTAGAATTTATTTTTAGGCCACATGCAAGAAAATTAATCGTGGTTGTTATGAATAAATTAGCGATAAATTTTATCTATATAGTTTTTATCTTTTATTCTGGCTTATAAAAAAATTTTCCAAGAAAGTCGATCTTCAAAGATGAAGTATATTTTTAGTAAATCATGGCCGAAAAAAGTTTGGGTCCCTCTGTCATACATCTTCCTCTCGTAAAAACGTCCATGCTTTTATGTATTTATAGGTTGAATAACTTCGCATAGGATTAACGAACACTTAAGTCAGATTCGAACATAAATCTATGAATTACAAATTCATATGATCCCTCTGGTTATTATAACACATTATACTAAAAACACATCTCATTACTTCACGTAATTTAACGTAGACACTATATCCGCCGTAGTATTGTAAGTGGCGTTATCATTAACATATTATATGATTTGCATATTATTAAAAGGTATTATAATTTCATTAGCGTTTCAAACTGATGTAGTGCTTTTGCCTTTATAATAATCAGGAACAAGACAATTACATTACGTTTAAGTCTGATATGCCGTGACCGTATTATGGATATTATCAACTAATTTATAACGAAAATAATTTTACGTCCATGAAATGTACAGTTGATTTATAAATGGAAAAATTTGTAAATTTATTATTTTTCTTAAATTAAAAGATTTGTATAAATAATGTTATCATCTTGTGTTTTCTTCAATAAAAATATATAAAATTAAATACATATTATTTTTGTTTATATATAATAATAGGTTTGATAAGTGGTAATTATACTATCATTAACGAATTTAGGAGCTTTATTATTTGAAAGAAAAATAATTAAATAATTATTATTTGTTTTATTTGGTCAAGAGAACAAAAAATTAAATAAAATAACGTAATAACTATGAAGGTGAAATTCCTCATGTAAACATATCGATCAAATTGTAATGAATAAACAATTTTTCAGGCGATGATGCGATAAAAAAAAAAGAAAATATTCTGAGAATTAAAACTGGAAACTCGGAAATAATTTTACCAAACGTTCAGATTTAATAAAATATGACGTCGTTGAATAATTTCCACTTGGCTAGAAAATTTAAAATAAATTTCTGAGAAGTATTACTTATTACTTGATGTTTTAATTTACTTAAAAATCTACATAACTCAAAAATCGGTTCAATATACTTTCTAATTTACTTATTCAGCTTTCATTGGAAGAAATCTTACACACTTATATTAAATAATTAAATGAACCAGTGAAGCAAAAATTACATTGTTAATATATATGTTATATTACATTTCCAACTATAATCTTGTTCCAAAAAAACTTTATGTACAGAGAAATAATTGCTATTTATATTTTATTCTCTGTCATTTTAATTGAAATTCGATTTCTTAGAACAATACAGAAGAAATCAAAGTTATTAACTATTAATAGATTTGTTTTTATTGCGATTAATAGAATATTATTCAAACTAAAAGGAAATGGTTATTTTGATTAAATTCACCTTTCTTTGATCCTGTATTTATCAAAATACTATATTCTAATTTCATTATATGAATATGAATATAATATTGACGTGTTGACGTGTATAATATTAAATTTGAAATGTTATTTTACAAATCAAAGACTTTTACGAATCACATATCATGTGTTATATTTTATATTAATGATATTTCACGTGAATAAGATTTTAATGGAAACATTTCAGTAAAAAATGTTAGCTTTTCAGAATAAAAAAGTCGTTTATTCTGTAAAAAAAATGTATACATCTAGTGTATATATATATATATATATATATATATATATATGTCCTGTTTTTTATTTTCTTCTTATTCGCTTCAAATCACATTTTTCATTAAAATGTTTGATGTGATAACAAGTAATTTGGCTTTGATAGATTATGACTTCACTATACTAATGATTAGTTCTATATTTCTTTTAAATATTATTAAAATGTTTTAAGTTCACCATTGATACGTTTTAATCATGCTATGTTTTATAAATAAAGTAATATTTTAAAAAGTTATCAAATTCATTCAAATTAATCACTGGTGAGATTAAAATAATAAACGGTTTTTAGTATAAAAGTAAAATTAAAAAAAAATGAATTTACATTTGTATTGAAATAATTTTTTTTTTTTTTTTTTTGTGAAAACTAGTTTATCTCAAATCGATTTGAAATTACACTGTATTTAAATTAGCGTGATAGTTATATTTTACATGCATATGACTTAGTTTTAGGTAAGCAGAGTGCATGCAACATAGTATTTTAATATGTATGCGATATTTTTAATTGAATAATTGAATTCTAATTCTTATTCTATAGATACAATTCTAAAATATAATCAAAAAAGAACTGTCTAAGATTTTTAAAAATAGTCATTAATTCTTTATGAATGTATTTACTTTTAGTAATTGATAAAAATTTTAAATTTTATCTTGTTACCGATGGTTGCTGCATACTAGTTGCGTCCTAAAAATATATACAAAAAAAGTCTAATCCAAATTGTGGCCCGATTGATAATTACCACGATACAGAGCCGTACCGAGCTAATTTTTATTCTAAGGCAGAACTGAATCAATAAGCCCCCTATGTTGAAGGTTTGTCATTTTCACAGCTTTTAATATGTATAATACAATTCGAAAAAATCTGCAAAATTGCAATTAGGTTTCTAGCAATACAAGAAATAACATTTCTTAAAATAAATAATTAATTTAATATTTTTGCGCCCCTCAGCTTCAGGCGCCTAAGGCAAGTGCGTTGCTCACCTCACCCTAGTTACGGCTCTGCCACAAGACATTTATATTATTATCGTTTTCCAATCGATAATAATGACAGCCACCAGCAATGACATGAGTGAATTATATATAATTATATAAACATTATAACATATTGATTTTTATTTCAAGATGGTTATGAATGTTGACTGATAAAATATAATAACAGTACAACGTAGATACTAAAATACATCTATGTCGTCGGTTTACAACCATCAAAACATTTCGCCGCATTTCTAATTTTACTGTACTAAAAATTCTTGTAAAGCGTACATTAAATTAAATACAAACCTAAATGTAGTACTGATGCTACGGACATTTCTAAGAAACGGGAAGGAAAATTAAGCTTAGAGTATATAATTTGATGGAAAAAAAAATGTTAAGTTGGTATCTTCTTGGACTGCATTTCGTATATACCCCAGCAAAAAGATCGGGCCGCAATTAATATGTAATCCAAAATTACTCCTGCCACTATTCTTTGGACGGGTAACCACCAGAGAATTTAGTGGTGTAGTATTTATTTGGAGTTGAGTTTCCTACAAAAAAATCGCCGGTTAAGCAAACATTATAAAGAAGAAATAAATAAATATTCGGTTGTACACACAGTATAAATATTATATAATATGACTCTACAGGAGCGTACCCAAGAATTTTTTATGGAGGGTCCAACATTTTTATTTTATTTGATAATGAGAAATTAAATACACTATATACTATTATTATACTATTTACTATAGAATCGTTAAGTATGTAGAAATTTCAATGGGGGGTCCGTACTTAACTTCCCCTTCCTTGAAACTCTATCTGATATCCAAAAGTATTCAGTCACTATATTGCTACTTATCTATGGCGTTGATTTTTTTTTTTTTTGTTATTTTTTTTTTTTTTAACCAGTGATCACAATAAATTATTTTAACTTTTTATGGCAATACATTCGCATTGATCCGACTTTGGTCCATTTTGAAAACGTAGTATTACCAAAACGTTAAATGCATTTAATAGTGTTCGATAATGGTAATTAAAATCAAAATAAAAACACAAACAAAACTAGATGGTCGATTAAATGCACATTTAAGTGCATTTATAATACAATATCGCTTATCGTATTATTGTTGTATTTAACGTGTCGGTCGGTTTGAGGGATTATCTTTGTACTCGTATTATTTCAAATAATCTACAATTTTAATGCCAGATATTATATATTACTCACAATATCCAGCCTCTTATTTATAATCTAAATAGTGTTGATCCGTCTGTCAGTATAAATTGTGTCCATGTGATTGATAAATGATACGACATAAAGCTGTTACTAAAATTAGACGTTTTTTTTCTCGTCGTTTCAACGGATTCGACTCGATTTTATGGATTGCAAAGATTTTGCTGTGTGATATAATAAATTTAAAAATAGTGTCATTTCAAAGCTTAAAAAGTGTGGTTGAACCAAAAAAGGTTCAAAAATTTAAAATAATTAATACATTTTTTAACTCATTAGACATTGAATTAAGCCGCACACTTATTCGAAAAAACTTAATCATTTGGACCATTGCTTAACGAGAAAAACAATTACATTGCACGTAGTATGATATTTTGCAAAGTGCAATTATATAACAATATAGGTACAGAAATTAAATGTAATTCAATATAACGTGTCTGATCTACATATCAGTATCATATACATTGGCTCAATGAAGTGCGAAGTGTGTCCACTTTTTGTATTTTATTCACTTTATTCATTTCTATCACAATCGGTATATTATATGTAAACATAATAAACCTTCTGGTCTTACGTATGTAAATATCGATCACGTCCCGTGTACACTTCAACGAAGTACAAATATGTCGATGAATTAGTTATTGCCTAGCTGAAAAAACACTTTACAGTAGTGCACGTTATTGCCGAAATTAAAATCACGTCACAATAAAAAATAGAGTTCTTACTACGATAATAACGTTACAGTTACAGTTGACCGTCCATCTTTTACTGTAGGCTCATTTAATTAACTTAATGTTTAATTTTTTTCTCACGGTATTTTTAAGACAACTTATGATTCAGAAGTAATTGATTTGAAAAACTATTTTAACATTATACAATTCGGGTTTTAACACGACTCTTTTGGCTTGCATACAGTATCTGATTTTTGATAATAATAGTTGCAGGAATTAGATGCATCGCACGTCGTTACGTACCGTAAATCTAACCATTAACACTCGTTTCGGGATTATAAACAAATGATTTCCGTTACCTTAGGTTAATCGTCGTGCTGATCGATCGGTAAGAAAAATTCGACTTTCCATTTGTAATATACAGCTGTTTCATGCGGGCTGGAAATGTTAACGTTGTATTTTAACTCATTCTAATAACATGAAGAATATATAATTGTATTTTATAACTCAACACCGTATAAAAGATTTACGTATCCAAAAGTTAAATATTCTTCTCGACCTCAAAACATATCCCTGGAAGTATTTTAATTTATCTATTGTAACCTATACATTTTTAAACCTGTCAAATAATACAATTATCCTTAAATATTTTACACTCTTATTTTGTTGAATTAATTTCAATCACTTTTGAAAGCCAATGCTCGTTATTTATTTTAAATAATATGGCTGCTATAAATCGGTCAATAATATTTTTTCCTATATACTACTTTAGTAGAATAATATAAAATTTGATTGTTGATTACTAACAGTTAAGTATTGAATTGATATTCTTTACAGTTGATGTAGACCACTTTTCTTAGCTGTTCGAGCAAACAAACTTTATGAATTCATTTGAAACTGTCTATATTGAATATAACGGCTTTCACTCATTTTTCATGTCATATTATAATATTTGTCAAATAAAAACAGCAATATTATTTATATAATAAATGCATATTTGTTTCTTTTCAATTAGATACTTGTTTATATTGCAGATTCTGAATAAAATCAGTAGTTGTTTTTAGTTTTTAGTATTCATTATTATTTAAAAGGTGCTCAATACTTTCTTTATATTTAGAGTAAAAGGAATGTATAAATTTTTTTTTTTTTTAAATAGTTTAATTCAATTCTATAGACAATCGTCTGAAAATAAAATATTGTAATATTTTAATAAATAAATAATTGTACTTTAATTTTTCACCACTGAAAGAATGTGACATCATTTATTGAATACCCGACCCGAAAATAATATTATTTCTATCTAATTAAGTATACAATAATGTTTCAGTAGGTGTATATTACCATTTTTTTATTACAGATCGTCCGGATCAGTTCTTCGGGCACTCGACCTCAGTTATAACCAGTTGGATAAGGTGCCACTTAAATCTTTCTCAAATATAAAAAATTTAGATTGGCTCAATTTGCACGGGTGATTAGCATTTGTTTTAAAATATCTGCAATTATAACATATATTTGTATTGGAGAATAAATGCTTATAATATATTATTTTTATTTTCATTTCAGTAACAATATCGAAGTAGTGGAAACATACTGGAATCATTTGCAAGACACATTGCAGCACCTGTTCATTGGTGAAAACGATTTAACATCGTTCCCAGATCATTTTTCAAAACTACGAACATTATCTACTTTAAATCTGGATAATAATTTGATCACGTCTATACAACCGAACATTAAAACGCCACCGGTGCTTGAAACTCTGAGCATATCCAATAACTTCTTGCAAGAATTTCCTGTCTCACTTATTGAAACGGGAACTGCGCTGAACAGATTATATGTACGAGACAATTACATAGTGAACATAACGAAAATTGTTCCGAACAGATTTGTCAAACTGGATATACTAGATCTGGGCATGAACCAAATGGAGAGTTGGTCAGGTCAGATGTTCGGGGGTCGTTCAGAAGTGCGGAATCTACATTTAGATATGAATCGATTGGAGACGCTGGACGCAAACGCTTTCGACGGGTTGCGATCGGTTCGCATGTACCTGTCTCGTAACAGGTTGAAAAATTTGGACCACAAGACTTTCGAAGGACTGGAAAGGATACTGGAGTATTTAGACCTGGAGCACAATAATTTAGGAATGATACCGACGGCGATTAGAACTTTGAAAAATTTAAAGTTTTTGTACTTGTCGTCAAACGATCTCAGTCAATTGAACACGGCAGATTTTACCGGCGTTTCGTCGAGTCTACGATCGCTTTCACTATCCGGCAATCGTCTGTTAGAAATACCTAGCCATTCGTTAACGAACTGTACTAAACTCTCGCATTTGAACTTGGGCTACAACTTTATCAGAGAAATAAGAGAAAACGACTTTGGGGAATGGGCCACGCACCTGGACACGTTGTTGTTGATGAACAACAAGTTGAAGGAACTCACCGGACGACCGTTCAAGAATACGACCACCCTGCGCGAACTGAGTTTGTCCTTCAACAACATCCATTACATAGATGCCGACGTGTTCATGGATCTGGCCACGTCGTTAGAAAGCTTGGAAATCAGTTTTGGCGTTTACTACGATAGCTTCCCCGTTAAAATGCTCAGTCATCTCAAATCTCTGATGTGGTTAGTGCTGGACAACAACGACATCTCGTCCGTGCCGGTGAACTCATTGCACTCGCTGGACAGTCTTCAGTACGTCAATCTGGAATCCAACAGGATATCGGTGTTGGTGCCAGGTACGTTCGGCTCGCCGAACCAAACATACCTGCGTGAGGTGAGACTGAACCAAAACTACTTGATGTCCCTGGAGCCGAACACGTTCCACGACCTGCAGCAGCTGCAAACGATCACCGTGTCGCGGAACAAAATCATTGAAGTTATGTCGCGCGCGTTTAACAAGCTGCCGAGGCTGCTCAACGTCGACCTGTCGTATAACCGCATCGAGTACATCCAGCCGTCGGCGTTTGAACGACTGCCAGGGCTGAAACGTCTGGACCTGCAGGGCAACCAGCTGAAGGAGCTGCGGATGGCGTCATTCGCCAACTCCACCAATCCGAAGACGCCGCTGGTCCTGAACGTGTCCAACAACTGCATCGAAATGGCCCCGGTGGACCATCCGCTGACGGCCGTCCACGTGAGGACGCTGGACCTAAGCTACAACAGCCTGGCGGACGTGCCGTACAGGCTGCTACACTTCGTATCGGCGTCGCTCAGGCATCTCTACCTGGACCACAACCGGATAACGAGCGTGTACAACGCGGAGTTGGTGAACCTCACGGGGCTGGAGGTGCTGTCGATGACCGGTAACGGAATGACGTCGGTCGCGTCTAAAGCGTTCCACAACCTGACCTCGCTGCAGGTGCTCCGGCTGTCCGACAACCGCATACAGCAGCTGTCGCCCGACCAGTTCGCCACGCTACCCAGGCTTCGCGTGCTGTCGCTGGCCAGGAACCAGCTGACCGCACTCGGCTGGGACGCGGTGCCGGGCGTGGCGCCGCTCGAGTTCATCGACCTGTCCGACAACCGGCTGCTGGCCGTGCCCGTGAGCATGCTGACGGCAACGGGCTCGACGCTACGGCACCTGCTGCTGTCCGGCAACCGCATTGATCACGTCGACGGCACCACGTTCTCGGACGTGACCAGGCTAGCCAACCTGAGCCTGGCCAATAACAAACTAACCATCATCCCGGATAACACGTTCGTCGGGCTCACCGGTCTACTCGCACTCGACTTGTCCTCCAACAACCTCCGGGCCAACTTCAAAGAGCTGTTCCATTACGTGCAGAACGTGAGGCATCTAAATTTAGCCGACACGGGGCTCGTCGATACGCCACTGCTGCCACTCCCGGGATTGATATCGCTCCGGCTGTCACACAACAAGTTGGAAAAGGTGTCCAGATCGTCCATGGAAATGCTGTCCCGCTTAAAGACGCTTTATCTGAACGACAACAGATTGACCTCGTCCCCATGGAATGTATGGTCGCTGCTGCCGTCGTTGAAAACGTTAGACCTGTCGGCCAACCCTATAAAAGTAACTTTTTTATTTATTTTTTTTATTTTCAACCCGTTTGAACTCTCTATGGGTTATTGATATTATTCGATTGTAGTCCCTCGTTCGAGCGCATATTTCGAGATAATTTCACGCAAACTCCTCGCAGTAACGGCGAATTGTGGACAACAAACGATGTTAAAACATATCTGTTAAACGAGATGTAAACGTGCGTTTGTACCGCGTGTCTTGCATGATCGTGCCGACCACAACGATAACCTTTGCGTACCTTTTCGTGTGCTTGACACACGCACGCGCTTTTGTGTTGCAGACGATCACCAAAGCGAGTTTTTCCGGTCTGTCCCGTTTACAACATTTGCGGGTGCAGCAGCTGCAGTACGCGGACCGTTTCGATGCGGGATCGCTTTCCAAACTGTCCACTCTTCGGTCATTGGCCACAGACTGGCGACCGAACATCGGGCAGATCGTGTGCGCCGCGGTCAAGTCCATACGCAGCCTTTCGGTGCGTGTGAACCGGTTGCGACTGCCCGGGCCCATCGTGGACACGTGCGGTCCCAAGCTCGAGTCCGTGGCCATCACAGGGCCGGAGCTAAGGTTCGTCGATGCTCAAGTGTTCGCGGGGCTGGGCCGCGGGGTTGGCGAACGGCTGACCATCAGCATCCGGCACACGTCCATTGAGGACCTGCCAGCTGACCTGCTTCTGCCGCTGTCCGGTGTGCCCAAGCTCGCGCTAGACCTGACCAGCAATCGGCTCACGTCGCTCAACCCACTAACCGTATACTCCAACTACACTACGTGGGAGAACTCCGGCACTAATATTCTCAGAGGCAAGTGCAATGTTGTATCCGCTTATCAAGTGTACCTCTGTAAATACAGGGCCCTCCGTACGTGCACGGATCGAACCCGAGAGATCACGAGAATGAAAATAATGTAATCCCTGTGACGTTATTTTCGGAGGTTTTTGGTCCATTGTTCTTAAGCCCTTTCTCTTATTTAAGTCCGTATTTAATGGCCGAGGAACGAAAAATAATCAGACACGTGTGCGCCCGTCGCACAGCGATTTAGCGATACATTTTTGTTATCGTTAATAGCAATGAATGGTGGGATGGTAGGGTTCATTTGGGTGAAACTAAAAAAACATTCGAACGAATAAAAAACTATAATTTGCCTACTTGACCTGTTCTGCAATAAAAACTGGACGAATAAAAACTGGACGAATAAAAACTCAAAACTCTTAAGAAATCCTTCTTGACTATTATTTAAAGATTTAGGACTCTCGGAGCACAAAAATTTCAATTTTATCGAATACCACGATAAATGTATGGAATATATTTTTTATCAATGTTAGATTATCGTAAAAAACCACTATCTCATTTTATTTGACCCGCTATATTTAAAACCATCTATAAACGACGAATTTTAGATTTTTTTTAATTTAACTTAAAGATTTAAATTAATTAATTAATTAATTTAAATTAATTAAAATAAAGAATTAAATTAAAGATTTAAATTGGGTGGTACAAAATAACTTACCTATAAAAAGATATTTAAAAAGGCATCATCAAAAAACATCATGTAAATTGAAATTTTTGGGAATGACATTCAATACGACACAATCGATTTTTCTCGCACAAACAATTTTTTAATCGATTTATTTTTACAATTGATTTTGTTAAATACCGTGTAATTCATACATAAACTCAAAATATGTTTAGAAAATATTTTTATTTATTTATTTATTTCATAAAAAATAAATAAATAGGAAAAATGTTAAAATCAAAAGACACAGAAAAGGGTTAGAATATTTAAGTTAATTTGCTTAATATAAAACGATATTTATCACCAAGCAGACGAATAATTGTTTCCGTAATCTTAAAAATTGTTCAAATACGATTATATTATAATATAATAAATCCATATACATCGAAAAAGAGTAAATAAACACTATGCTCTTATATCTTTTCAAAATAATAAAGACTATATGAAACTCTAGAAGATTTACTATCCACTTTTCTTTGGAGAATATATTTTAGAGTTGATTACAATCATATATATATGTGTGTGTGTGTGTTTTACCAACATTATGTTTTTTTGGTTTACCCTTTCAATAAACTTTTATTTAAATTCACAATTTTAACAGGTTTATTTTTATGCAATTGTATATTGTAGAAAAAACAGAAATAATCGCTCACCGTAGTGCTGGACCGATATATGTAAAAAGGAATATCAAAGAAGACAAAAAATAAAAATAAAACGCTAGATTTTAACAAATTGGGTGACATTGTATTATACAAACTCGCACATACACACACACACAAATACAAACATATAAATGTATATTAATTTAAACAATGTCACACGTGGTTTATTTGCCGACCGGTCATTGTTCATTCCATGCAAACAAAATGGTTTTTTTTTTTTTTTTGTTGTTGTATGTGTGTCTACCAGAATAATAATAAAAAATAAAAATAAAAAAACATGAAGGGGAAAAAGTACCAAGCACTTCAAGTATTTAGGCTGACAAGCGTGCTAGTGTGCGGAAGTTTGTGTTTCTTTTTTTACATTTATTTTTTTCCTCCTTCAGAAGGATTGTGTTCACCATATACTGAACTGAAGTGCTGACGGAGTGCCGATTGAAGAGAACAAGCATGTGGTGGCATCAGTGCGAGCGAGTAAGGAGTTATATGTGTATACATACATATATATAAGTACATCTGTGTTGGCTAGGATATATTTACTACCCTCCGGCTACTTCAGAACGCGCGACTTTTTGTCGCACCGCGATTTCCTTTTTGGTATTTTTCTCTTGCTCCTGCCCGTGAACACAAACATATACTTCCCACTACAGAACACGGTTTGGTCGATAAATACACCTCAACACACATTCACACACATACACACACGCAGGTGTACTTACATACTTGCGCGTGCACGCACAGTATAATATGTCACCACAAAGTGTCATCGAAATGACAAGTGAAATGTTTATTCTTGACGATTTAGTACTGGTAATATTTATATATCTCCCATTGTCACTCTATTACAAAATATATACGTGAAAAAATGTTTATGTTGTTATCAAAATAGTACATTGTAATATTCTTTCCTCGATGGTTAATAATTTATAGTTTCCCTCGTTGACAAAAGGCGGGTCAAATGACATACGTGCCCGATAACAATCACTATTTCAATAGTAATTGGTTCAGAGTAATAGCGTATGGTGAAGAAAACACAATTTTTCATTGCATTATCGAATGGTAGGTTAATGTAAGTTTTTCGTTCTAGACGTTTCCCCTTTGGCAGTTAAAAAATACGCGATTTGGACGTCACAAAGCAACCAATACTTGTACAAATCTTAAACACACACAACAAATAAAAATAACTAAGTGTATAGCCTTTGTAACGTATATTCTGTTAAATTTAATTTCATCGTTCATATTAATTTTTAACCGTTTTTTTTTTCTGTTTAATTTTTTTATTAATATAATTAAAATTGACGGGTTAAAGTATCAATCGAATGGCTGTCATTAAAAATTTCGATGACTTGCAGTCACATATCATGATATATTATATAGTAAAACTATAAATCGAATACTGAAAATTTATTTTCATAGACCGTTATTTATTAATTTATTTACTTTGTTTATACCTGATGATAAATTTTCAATTCAAAAGCGGTCGTATATACCATATAATAAAGCTCCTGGCTACGTATTCATTTATTTATTTATTTCTATATATAAACTATTTATTTACATGGGCGTAGCTAAGATTTGAATCGGGGGGAGGGGGCAAAAACATAAAGCGATTAGTGTTAAACTCGTAATTCAAATAATCTAGAGATAGGCCATTGGATAACACATACAAAGTCAAAACGTTTACACGTGTAGATAACACTCAGTCCCACTAAACTATTTTTAGACATATCTTATTTAATTTTTGATTTTAATGTAAAACGCACACGTTTGGTATAAACAAATAGCATTCAGTTTAAGGCGCGAGGGGGAAGTTCCCCCTCCTGCCCCAACCTCGCTACACCCATATTTATTTATATAATCATTTACGAGTGTTAACAATTTACTAATTTTTGTTCTAATTTATTATTTTATTATTTATAATCGCCAAAATTCATAATAGGATTGAATAATTAAAAAGATGATTCATATTTTTGAAACATACTTATATATTACAATATGATTATAATATCATTATTTATTTTAAAAAATCTATTTTTATTATAGTAGATTTTGTGCATTTTTGCTATTTTAATATGAATATTGTTATCTGACATACATATAATATATGAGTGTATATATTTTTATAATTGTCTTCTTACAAATGTTATATTTTAGTACGAGCTTGTAAAATATTCTGTGGTGGTTTGAATTCAATATAGTTTTAATTATTCATATATGTAGAATATTTAAAATATTCTCATAAAATGTAACTCAGAACAAATACAAGGACAATATGATGTATTATGATTATGAAACATTGTCTTATCCATAAGTATTTTTGATGATATGGAGTGTATTTCAATTTTCAAACGTAATAGTTTCGTGTTACGAACAGGGACTAAAACCGTAACTGAAAAGAACTGGTACTGGAACCGGTTAACCTTTATAATTTAGGAACCGCAACTGAAACTGGAACCATTATTTCTAAAAATGAAAAACCGCAATCTTAATTATAAAAAGGTTAATTTAGGTCAGTTATTTAGACTAGTAAAACTATGGTAATGACTATTTTGTTTGTCCATTTGTCGGTTCAGAAAAAATCAAATCTTTTTATGTTTTTATTATTTTGTGTTGTAAACTGTAATAGTGTAATGCATATAATAGGTAAATTTGTAATATTATTATTATTATTTTGTATGTTTATTAATATATTATAATGAGTATATCATCTATATTGTCAATTAAATATTAAATATAATTAATGTTTATAAAAAATATGTAGCTACAACAGAAGTCAGAATGAACTTTGATTCCTAATTAAAATTAAATTTTAAATTAAAGATATTTATTTCATCAAATCATAATATTTCATAATATTACAAAATATTTTATAGATTCTTACTATGAGTTGGGATAAAATAACTTAAAAAAACTTAAATAACTAAAATAACTAAAAATAACTTAACTAAAATAATTAACTCAAAGATATATAGTAGGCTGATATAATATATATATATATATATATATATTTAATATATTTATAATTATATTTTTTAACTATTCATAATACCTTCTATTTTCATGAAATGAAACAATTACAATTTAAACAAGAATAAATAAATAATTTCATATTATTTTTTAATAAATCTCTAATAATCAAAATTAATCTAAATTAACCGGTTCTAGAACCCTTACTCTTTTAAAAAATATAAACCTAAACTGAAACCCTTACAAAATTAATTGAACAGCTAAAACCGAAACCGAAACTGAAAAAACCTATAGTTTCTAGTCCCTGGTTACGAACAACCTAAACATTTCTTATCTAAAGAATTAGCCACAACTTTAACTTTCTAGTTTTATTCCATTTAAATTGTATATATAGATATATTTATACTGGAAAAGGAATAAATTAAAACATTCATTCTTTCATTCTTTGAAATTTTCCTTATATTTAAAAAAAAATGTTTTAATTTAAATTATTACAAAATATTATAATTAGTTTTAGGATGAATAAACTCAAATTTTACATGACAATACGGTATTTTATATATTTGATATATACTTTATAGATAGGTCATTAAAAATAAAAAAATTTAATAATATAAAAACTGCAATACATGTAAATCTATATAATGCTTAATGTAACACAA